CTGCGCGGGCGCGGCAACCGCGGCGGAGTGTGGCGCGCATGCAAGTTCGGCTCGGGGCGCGTGCAAGCGCGGCGCGGCGACGGCGGCTCAGGCCGACGCGCGGCGGCGGGCGAGCAGGCTAGCACGTGGGCGAGTAGCAGGGCAGCTTGTGCGCGGTGCCCGACGGGCGAGCTCGACGCGGACGAGTAGCAGGGCAAGCGCGGCTGGCGAGCTCGGCGCGGGGCGCGGCAGTGGCGAGCAAGCGTGGGCGGGGAGACGCTGCAACGAGACGGGGCGGACCGTTTGGGGTCAAGACGCCTCGTGCGCGTTGGGCGCGAATGCTCCAAACGCCTGTCCGCCCCCTCGGACGTCTGCCGAATCGCACCCAAACGAACGTCCAAAAGACAGATGCGGATGTCCGTTTGGAGTCCTGCGGTGGAGTTGCCCTTACTGCACTGCGGAGTACTACTTTCTTTACGATATCCGCAGCGGAGTACTACTTTCTTTACCATACAAAAATATTACTTTGCAGAAAGAAAGAAAAAACGTTTGGTCTGCGGCGCCGCGGTGAGCAGTGCACAGTGGAATACGGAGGCATGCAGCATGCTACTGGATCAGACAGTGCCATGCATGTTACGTACCACCCTCCCACGTCTACGTACGTGCGTACCTCTACGGGCATGGTGGTACCCGTGGTCGTACAATGCATGCGCTGTACGTACTACAGTGTCAGACGCCAGTGAGTGTGCTAGCCCCCCGGTAAGCAGAGTTAAGTACGTTATCCCGGGAGGGGAGGGGAGAGTAGAGCTAATGATGGGGTTTGGGGTAGGGGTAAGCTCCAACCATTTTGTCACCCGGAAAGACGCGCCGCGGAATGGAATAAGCAGGCCGCAGTTAACCCTTGGAATCTCTCAGTACTGCCGCTGCCAGTACGCCATGATTAGACGTGGTTTTAGATGGATCGGACAGGAGCCTATAGGGGCTGTCGATGAGGGTGACCCGATCGACCTGATGGAAAGTCCGGTCGCTCCAACCATGGACGTGGTCCGGCCATGGCCATGGCCAAAGGGGGAAAAGGGGGCGCAGCAGCAAAGAGAAAGAAAAGAGTCTACGGACGGACGGAAGCCAGGCGAGGCCAAGCAGAAGGACGGCGAGGGGAAAGAGCCCCGGCTTTATTGACTACGTCGTTCGTTTCTCCGCTAGCTTTTCCGGTGGTGCATGCCCGTGGGTGGGGCGCGTGCTCGGCCGGACGGCCGGACGGACGGACCAGGCTACCCCGGCGGGCGGGTCCTTGTCGTCGCATGACACGCGCGCCCTACGCCTGCCTCGTCTCGTCTCGTACGCCAAGCGTGAGGAGGATGATGGGGGATGGCGGACGGCTGGGATCGGGCGCGGCGGGGCGCGGGGGCCGAGGTGCACGCGCGGGGAAGGGACGACGGTACGACGGGGAAAAGAACGGAGCAGGCGGACTCGATGGCGCGAGGGGAGGGAGGGAATCATGGAGTGAGTGGCTGCGGATGGGATGTGACGCGTGCTTTCCGGGCCGTCCCGTCTCGTCTCGTCCTCCCCGTATGTCTACTGCGGCCACGATCGTGGTTCGTGGGCGTGGCTGCCTCCCCCGCGGTTCGATATGTTGGTTTTTCTCTTCTTCTTTTTAGGAAAACCTAGAACTTTATTTAAATACAGTTCTCAGATATTTCTGAGGATATAACATGCAAAATACAGTACAAATCTGGGGGAGCAGAGTCCCAAAATAAATTAGTACCTCCGTCCTGCTTTATTAATCCTCTTTGTATTCTGTGTCAAAATTTGATCTTAAATTTAACTAACAAAATATAAACCTGGACGGAGATAGTGACAATATAAACCCTCTCTAGCCTAAGAGTGGACTGCCTCATTTGCCGATCTATGTACCCAGCTAACTTTGGCATCCTGAAGGCCACCGATCCTCTCGTTCAAATCCTCAATCAACGGTCCATTTGCTGACAAATTCTTCTCTTTTTTATTCAGCATCATAACAAGGCCCTTGTACAGGATGAACAAAACCCGAACTATAGTTACTAGAACAAAAATGTGAGAGAGAGTAAAAGTGAGAAGATTTTTCATCTCTTTTACTCCATTTATTCATTATAGTAGATAAAGTTAGAGCATTTGGCCTCGCCCAATACTGATGTGAAGGTTAAAGTAAGATACGTCAAATACTGAAAATTATGATGGAATCACTGTTGGTTAAATATTGGGGCTCCCTCTATGATTGGTGTTGATCGGGTTAATTGTTTCAAACACTTAATATAGATGATCCAGAAATTAGCAAATCGATGGAAAAAGATAATCCTCTCCTTTGGAGGTAAGGAGGCCTTACTGAAAGCAGTGGCCAAGCCAGCCCTACATACGCAATGAGTGTGTTTAAATTTCCGAAGAAAATTTGTAAGGAGATTACTGATGTAACACCGTAGTATTGAAGGGGTGATGAGTATGACCAAAGCAGGATGCATTGGTTTGCGTGGTGGAAAATGTGTGTACCGAAGAAGCAAGGATGTATGGGTTTTCATGACATTCACAGTTTCAATTTGGCGATGCTGGCAAAACAATGTTGGAGGTTGATTGAGAACAAAATGAATCATTGTGTGCCGGAATGTTGAGAGTTAGATATTACCCCAATGGGGGATATTCTTAACTATGAATTAAAAAGAAAGGTCATCGTATGTATGACAGAGTATATGGGCAGGGATCCAAACCTTCAAGAAGTCTTCATTTGGAGAGTATGAGATCGTGCAAAAATAGATATTTCAAGTGATTGTTGGATCCCAAGCAGTGCATCAAGGAAAATGGTGACAATAGGGATAATCAAGTATTGTCAAGAGTGAATGATCTTATAGACCCAGTTTCGGGGGAGTGAGATGAACAAATAATCCGGGACAACTTTGGCATATTGATGCGGAGCGTATTCTGCATATTCCGCTACACCATCAGGTAACGGAGGACTACGTTGCATGGTACCTTACAAAAAACATGATTTTCTCAGTACGTTCAGCCTATTATAAAGAATGGGACCATACATACATTGATAGCACTAGTCTCAGTCACCATGGTGGTCCCCGGCCACACCTGATACGGAGGAAAATTTGGAGTCTAAAAATGCCGGAGAAAATTAAGATCTTCCTATGGAGATGTCTACATAATGCTATTTCCAGTTTTTGTGGTCTTGCAAACAGTTACACTGGCTATATTTCTCAATGCCCAATTTGCAAAGTGAAAGCAGAATATATCAAGCTTGCTTTGTTTAACTGCGTGAAAGCAAATGTAGTATGGGCTGCGCTTGGGTTTGAGAGGGTCGGACATGATACGCCACTTGTTGATCGCTCGGGTTCCGGTGTGCTCGAATTCCTCATGTGTGATCAATCGACACAACACAATTATGACGACTCGATAGAGCTTCCAGAGTTGATAGCTACAACGGATTGGTTTGTATGGTGGCAGCGTAGACAGCAGGTCGGAGGGTAGCAAGTGCAGACGCCGTTGCGATCGGCGCTAGCCATCCATGCATTGGTTCTTTAACTCCACACGATCGGCAGCGAAACAAACTACTGCACTTAGACGGAACACATGGCCCATTGTTTTGGCAGCACAACAAATTTTAAACGTTGATGCGTCTTTTATTGAGGATCTGCATTCGGAGTCATGTGGGGCAATAGTTAAAGACCACATAGATAATTTCATTGCTGCTTCTACTTCTCGCCTTGAGCATGTGGCAAATGTCGTCTCTGCGGAAGCGAAGCAAGGTATTTCGGGTCCTTTATAGGGAAGGCATATCATAGAGAATTATAATTATCATATATCATATCGGGTAGGTTTTGGTATTTCATTGCTACAAGCATGGGTTATTGTAAAATAACACATGTCATTTGGATACTTCTCTTCAACTCCAAAGATGTTAGTTGAGTCCCTGGCTCCCCAATTGATTGACCTGCAATAATACCTACGGCTTCTCCCAATTCGACCAGATCACTATGAGTAGGACTCCGGCCATAGCATAATTGACAGATCCAAGAAGTGCTTCGGCAAGTAAAGATTCGGCTCAATCTTTTTTTTCTAAAAAAGATTAAGCCGAGTTTAATTGCAATCAATTAGAAGAATAAAGAAGAATTACTGCATTTCATAACTGATTGTTTTCTCTTTTTATTTCGTTTCTTTTTTATTTATACCTTCTTTATCTTTAGTTTTATCTAGTTAATCAATAGTATCTACCGGCTCGAACTCGAATTTGATCGCCTTCCATACTTCACAAGCTGCGGCTAGTTCAGGACTCCATTTGCAAGCTGCTCGGATAATTTCATTACCTTCGCGAGCAAGATCGCGCCCTTCGTTACGAGCTTGTACACAGGCTTCTAAAGCCACTCGATTAGCTGCTGCACCAGGTGCATTTCCCCAAGTATGTCCTAAAGTTCCTCCACCAAATTGTAATACAGAATCGTCCCCAAAGATTTCGGTCAGAGCTGGCATATGCCAAACATGAATACCACCTGAAGCTACTGGTATAACACCTGGCATGGATACCCAATCCTGAGTGAAAAAGATACCGCGAGCACGATCTTTTTCAATAAAATCATCGCGCAATAAATCAACAAAACCTAAAGTCATTTCGCGTTCCCCTTCTAACTTACCTACTACTGTACCGGAGTGGATATGATCTCCCCCAGACATACGCAATGCCATTTCTTATACCTTCTATTTTATATGATATTTCATAAGAATAAACCATAGGGATAGGGTCTAGAATAGAAGTAATAAAGTGAATAAAAAGAGGGGGCAATCTAAATATTGCTAATATATTAGGACCATCTTATTAATAATTCTAATGAGTTATCTTGGAATTTAGAATCAAATAAAAAACCCTATATTATGCTCAAGGAAAGTAGATATAGATAGGAGCTTATGCCCTCAAAAAATACACTAGTTTCTTAAATTAAAAATAAAAAAGATTTTTTTCTTACGTCGAGAAATATTTGTTTTTCAAGATAAACAATGCCCGTTAGGTTAAGAAGATGGGAAAGCGCCTTTATCTCTATAAGAACAGTGCGTTCCGATGTGTGAAGTGGGAGAGAGGGGATATGATGATTGAGGTTTTGAATAAGACAACCTTTGCATTTTAGATTTGGATCTATGGGGTTATTACTTAGTAAGTCTATTTTGTACAAGAGCCCCTCCTATCTGATAGAAAAGGGTCCCATGATCCCGAGCCGATCTTACCTTGGCTCGCAAACCCCAAGTTTGTCTATGAAGAGCTAATCTAATTGTATTTTTTTCTAGAATGGATTTCTTATGTGGAATACTAATGGATAGGGCTTCGTTGCTAAGTGCTACAAGATCTAGTGCACTGGAAAATAATAAAATATAGTATTATCATATGATCATGATAATGGAATCAAATACGCAGTATTTACAGAAAAAAGTCTTCATTTATTGGGAAAGAATCAATATACTTTTAATGTCGAATCGGGATTCACTAAGACAGAAATAAAGCATTGGGTCAAACTCTTCTTTGGTGTTAAGGTGGTAGCTGTGAATAGCCATCGACTACCTGACCAATTCGAAACAAAAATAAAAAGGAACATAGTTCCAATAAAGGGAACCCAGGGACCATATTCTTCTCCAATCTGAGTTTTGCTCAAGTCTCGAATAAACTTTGGGGAGTCAGAGTCGAAAAGAGGATTCCTCGCTTCTTTCTCTCATGCAAAACTGTGCATGAGACTTTCATCTCGCACGGCTCATAAGTGATAAAAGAAAGAAGAACTCGTCTTCTCTCTTTTTTGATTACCTTCCTCGCGTATGTATAAGACCGAATCCATTCTTTTTCGAAATCGATTTCAAAAAAGAACTACTAATCCTTAACTATGAAATATTTACTCATGGGTGGGGCAAGCTCTTCTATTCTGGTTCATGGTTTCTCTTGGCTATATGGTTCATCTGGGGGGGGGAGATCGAGCTTCAAGAAAATGTGAACGGTCTTATCAATACACAAATGTATAACTCCCCAGGAATTTACTACTAAATAGAAAAGATTTGAAAATCATGGCATGGGTCTCCTTTTTTTCTTTCTTTAGAGTTTTCTATATGCACAATTTCTCGATGTTTCGATGAGAATTTCTTGACTTTCCATATATAGAAAGAGATAGACTATAAATGACATCTCTTATGTCAATAAGACTTATCGAGACGAATAAATAGATTAACCTTGAAACAACAATGATTAATTACTCTTGCTATAAAACAGGCTCATATTTTATCTTTCTTACCGTTTCGTAACTATGAGAACGAAAAGCAATTTCAAACCCAGTCAATTTCAGGTGGAGTCTTGGAGTATTTCGATCGATCGGTCATATAGGCCCGAGTCAGACATCAAATAGCTTCGATTTGCATTATCCGTAGGACACCTTATATGTATCAAAATCGATATCAAAATGCGAGTTTATTGTATCCCATTTGATATCTTCGTATCCGAGAATCCATAAATTCTACCCCGCATTTTTGGCAAAATCTCTCGTCTTCGTTTTCAGCTCCGCTTCAAAACCATACATGAAACCTTAGCTTCATACGGCTTCTCTATGATCAGAAAAATGAAAGGACTGTTTTGTTCCTAGCCCCTGGGGCGTAGATAGAATTAGATAAAATAAAATAGATTTGAAAGTCCTAAATTAGACCAAAGGAATTTCGTCTGCTAGAATAAGAATTTGTTTTTCAAGATAAACAATGTCCATTAGGCACCTAATCTTTATGTCATAATAGACCTGAACACTTGCCTCGGAAAATATTGGCTAGTAATTGTGAAGCCCCAATTCTCGATTGAAAGGGACACCAAAGGCCTCTGCCCTCCCTCTCTATCTATCCAAGAGATGGAAGGGCAGAGCTTTTTATTTGGTTTTTTCATCTTTTCATCAAAGAGTTGAACAATGAAGATAGATGGCAAGTGCCTGATCGATTTGATCAGGCCGTGTAGGAACAAGGTTCAAATCGTTCGTTCGTTAGGATGCCTCAGCTGCATACATCACTGCACGACATTACTTGAAGGTTTAAAGTTAGTTCAAAGTATGGGGTGCAATAATGTCTTGGTGATGATGGACAATTCTTTTTTTGGTCGATGATATACATTTGAATGAGGGACATTCTATGGTGGTGGCTCCAGCTTTAGATGATTGCGGAGAATTATTATGAGAGTTCGGGAAGGTTACTATTGAGTACTGTAATAGAAAATCAAATGTAGTTGGTCATGAGCTAGCTGAGTGGGGGTGTGCAAACACCCCCTTTTTTTAGGATAAATGCATCTTTGGGTACTATTGCTAAATTGTTAGCAGACGATGTAAGCATTATTTGAGATTAATAAAGCTGGCCATAAAGGCCTTTTCATAAAAAAATATAGTAGATGAAGTTGTGTCAAAAATTTCCTTTTTAAAAATATGTTTTGTCAGTTGGGTCCTTATTATTAGGGTACACATGGTGTACAACATCAACATGTTTTCCTCCGTATCTGTTTTCCTTCACTATGGGGACTACTAATTTGGGATATTTTTTTAAATGTTGGCAGGAGAGCTGCCAAATTCATTGATTAGAAAGGAGTATTACAAATAATACCCCCAAAGGAGGAATACATAGGTTTTCGCTCGGTTTTCCTTAATAAACCGGGCAACCTCTTTTTCATTTTTTCTTTTTTGACTAACTAGCAAAAGAGTCCGTGCGTTGCAATGGGAGAAAAAACAAAACACACACTCTTAACCGAACAACCATCATTCAAGACCACAATAGGCCCATCTTCTTTATTTTAACGACGCATCTTGTGTTGCCGCTTATCCCTCTTCTCACCCTCGCCGGCGATGGTCTTAGTGTTCACAAAAACCAAAACGTGTTTGAATGTGGTTAATCCTAAGACGTCTCTCTCTCTCTCCTCCCTCCCCCTCTCTCTCTCTCGCTTTCTCTCACACTCTCGATGAGAAATCTGTTGTTTTCTCCTGTGATGTATTCAAAGGTATGCATGTGTAGTTCTTCATGTTTTCTTTTCCCTATATGACTATAGTGGGTGTTTATTTGCAACCCGAATCGCCGCCTGTACGAAAGAAAAATGGATCGTGCGCTATAGTTATAAGTTTGCTTCCAAAACAATATCTAAAAAATATTTAACGGGTAAAATTAGCATCATATTCAGATTTCACACATTTTTCTAATCAAATTTCATATATAACCTATGAAAATCGGGGTAACGGTTTAAAAGATACATATAATTTAGGAAACCATTTGTTTGACTTAAATATCTTCCGAAATAATATTTATAAGTACTTAACAGGTTAAAATAATCTTATATTCGTATTCTACATATTTTTCTAATAAAAATTCATATATAACATGTTTAATATGGAGTTACGGTTTAAAAGATATGAATGGTTTAGAAAAGCATTTGTTTGACTTAAATATGATCCGCGGATGGAATAGCTAAAAAGTCAGGGGGGTTTCAAAAACTGTAAAATAACGGTTCGGTGTGACTTAAATTCGGGCCGCGGGTTGATTTCATGAAAACGCAGGTTTTTTTTTGCAAAACAGCGCGACGGCCGGGCAGAAACACTACCTGCTTTATTATTAGGTAGAGATCCGGGACAATAGTGGGGCTCCGTTCGCACTGTTGATGCTGACTGCTCAGAGTGTCTTCTCGTGTTTTTTCTTGCTCATAAGTTTGGGGTCTCAAATAAGAGCTAAACATCGGCCGCAAAAAAAATTGATAGCTAAACGTGGTTAGCATTTTTTTAGGGATAAACACTGTTAGCTTAATATGATGGGTCGTTCCGGTTGCTAAACGTGGCATGGAATGGATGAAAGAAAAGCTTCGTGATATCATATGGGCTGTGTGTGGCTGTAACTCGTCCCCATTTGGTTAAAAGCAAAGTTTAGTTTTTTTAGGGGTTCCAGTCTAGTTAGTTTTCTTAGGCAAATCAATCCATTTAGTTTTTTTTAGGCAAAATCAGTCCATTTAGTGAGTTGAGAAGAAAAAGGATGGCCAACGGGCCCATTGGCACTATATTTTTTTTTGAGATTTGGGCCCCTTGGGTACTTATCTTTGTTAATCAGCTTCTTTTTTGAAAGATCCGGTTTGAGCCTGCTTCATTGATTTAGGAGAAAGCATACCGGAAAAACAAGGAAGATCAAGTGATCATGGTGCACAAGAGCATTACGCAAGTTACAAACAAAAAAGAAAAATGGAGAGAGGGGCGCCCAACGCTCACAGAACTGTCTATCTCACAGTGGCGTCCCCGAACGGGGGCTCTAAGCATGCGGCTCCGGCAGTCCTCCAATGTGCAAGATCGAGCTTTATAGCCTGGAGAACATCGTCACTTCGTGGCATTTTCTCTCTGAAAACGCATGCATTCCGCTCTTTCCACATGTGCCAAGCAATCAAAAGCGTCATTGTTTTGAGCCCTCGCCTCTGGCCAGCTGGTGTGCGCCTGATCATCTCCAGGCAATGCTGCAGAGAGTTGTGGGAAGGCAGCCTGTTGAGACCCAGTGCCTCGCAGCCATTCCATGTGGAAGCAGACCTTCAAATCGTCTTGTAGAAAGGGCAATCCCACATCAGATGCAGAGCAGACTCCAGGCTCCTCATACATAAACCGCAGAAGTACTATTCGGCCAACCCCTCCTCTGCAGTCTGTCATTGCACCAGATCCTGTTGTTATGCA